CAACGCTGTTACACAGCACAAAACGCAAAAAAAAGAAGCGTTGAAATTCTAGGGTTCTAAATAACCGCGCAGAAAGTATGAAGGCATGCGGTGTTGGAAATGGAATGTATTACCTGACGATGCACATTTCTGAGCAAAAATCTATCCCTGTTACTGCGATGTTCCTACATGCTGTGCGCAGCTAAGCCGGATTTTCTTGATCCTGAGCTGCATACTTTCAGCTCATATATCAAGCACTTTTATCTCCTTTGTTTTTACTGCACGTACGGATTCGCAAACTCGTCCTCAAGTAAAGGAAGCAAAAGGACAGAAAAACGAAGAACTGTACAAACAGAAACGATGCATAAACCTGTTCGAATTTACACAAAGTAAAGCATTACCTGACTCATCTCCGCTCTCCTCCTTCTGCCCGTTTCCAGTACTTTTCCGGTCATGTTCGCTGCTTTGCCTGGGTTTTGTCACAGGCTGATGATCAATCCATGCACTATAGTATCGAACAACGTTTGGATGGTTTAATTTTGAAAACAGTTTTGCCTCGCGTGTTACTTTTCTACTGAATCGCTCATCTTTCGGATCCAGCGGTATTCGTTTGATCGCATAATCGTTGCCATCAAGCTTGTTCCTAAAAACACAAAGTTTGCGTGGAGGAAACAAAACTAAAAGTATGTATATCACTATCGATCCTTATGAGCTCGATAAAAATGCTACCACTGAATGGCTGTAAAAGCGAAGCATGTATCCGAGAAAAAAACGGAAATTTTTTATCAATATCATATAGGAAGCTACCAATCCCTGCGGTTAACTCCCCGCTAAAGTTATTTTCTGCCGTCTGCTGCCATCAATTTCGTCACTCTTCTCGCCAATCAGTCTATCTAGTCGCTCTCTCTAAGTCGCTGAGCCGAATGTCACAGACAAAGAAGGTAATTTTCAGATAATAATGCAACCTCACCAATAAAATGCCAAGCCAGGCCACTCTCTCGACCTTGCATGTTGCGAGCCTGACTAGTGTGTGTGTGTGTTTGTGTATGTGTTTGTGTGTATGTGTGTGTTTGTGTATGTGTGTGTGTATGTGGTTGAGGTATAGGAGCGAAGAATAATAAAAAATCGTGAAGAGGCTCTGGGAGAGCCGAATCTCTCAAGGACATGTTTTAGGGAACAAAAACACTAGATGCTGGAGATGGGGAGAAGTGCTTTTATACCCGAGTGACCACGGAACAAAGAGAATGCATAACTCTAAAAGGAGTAGGGTGTCCAAAGATTAAACAGACGACCAAGAGGCGTTGCGTCATAATGATGCAGTAGCTCTTTAGGAAATTTTAACAAAAGTAATAATGTGATATCACAATTATGTGATATCGCTATGTAATACCGCAATCAGTCTGGGTGCAAATCCTCAAGCGTTCAGCCGGTTGTAGCGTGCCCTAGGGGGCCTGTACTAATCAGACTTTTTGGTGGTTGCATTAACATAACCTTGACGAGTTTCCCTTCACTAATGTGTTAGACGTGCCTCGAAAAATCTCAGCTTATCAGGGGACAAAGAAAGCAGTGTAAATTCATCGTTGCGCCATGTACTCTCTTAGGCTCGTTTTAAAAAATCATGCATCCCTTCATTCTCGAAAGTAGCATATCTCAATTCAGTTTCTATTAGAATTTTGAATCTCAACGAAACCTACTTTGCCAGCAGAACATCGCCAAATCCACCTTTTCCCAACATTTCCACAAAAACAAATTCGTCCTGAAACCGGCTATGAGTAACTTGCTGCAGACCATCTCCAAAGCCAACGGATGGCAGTAACGAGGCGAATAAATCGTCTGAAACAGAATAATTTATTTCGCTGGGGATTCCAAAACTGGATTCCACTTTTCGAAGAAACAGCTTTTTTTTCCAGGAAATGACAAAAAAAACCTTGACGTAGAAAAGGATGCTCCAAGAGATCCTTCACTGTTTTCGCATTTCGGCATGAATCGATGAAATTGGACAGATTTTTTAAGAAGCCGCAATTGGCAGCAACCGATGAGAATGTTTTGAATTCCTCAAAAATGCCGCCCAAAGTAACCAAATCGTTACGTGGATTTCTGTCACATTGCTGAGAAACGCTTTCACCGGCTGTATCTTTGCACAGTGTGAAAGTGTTGCATAACTCAAGCACCAGTGCCCTGAAACAATCGTAAGAGTTAAAAATTTTTTAAATGCTTGCAATTTCTAGCATTCCAATAAACTTTCAACGATTCACTTGAGCCTTAGATCATAAATTTTTCGAAAAGTAAAAAAACTGATAAAAGGCAGAAGTAAAAAAAAAAAAAAATGCGAAAAATCCAACCGACAAATGCTTCGTGCAATAAGGCTCTCTGGTGGAAATCTTAGCTATTTTTCTGCAGTACTTCGAAAATACCCAATTTTAGCAGCTATTTAGCATTTTATGAGCTATAATCAGTCAAATTTAACAGCCAAAATTTGCGAAGAATATTGAGTTCCAGATCGTCATTGATTGCCGGCAGAATCCCTCAGCCGCCTAAAATTCTTAGCATCCCACACTCCTTAGCTGCCAATTCTGCCGCCTTAAACCATAAGCGGATCCAGGAAGGGAAAGGAAGGTTGGAGAGAGTCTTTCGTCCCCAACAACACAGGTACCAGTGCCGCAAAAGCCTGGGCAAAACTAATTCTAATTCTATACAGTAGCAGTGATTTGCCAATGCATAAATCCGATTAAGGCCTCTTATTCTGCCTAGTTCCACGGTGGGAAAGGGCCCTCTCCCATTCTCCTTCCACATTTAGTCACTCCCTCTTTCAAGAGCCCCACTTCCCCTCTATCCCCGTGGTCCCTCCTTCAGGAGCCCCA